ACATTTTATAAATTTAGTTTCAAGAATTAAATATTAAATCATAGAACATCCCCTGGTTGATATTTTTGTATATTCTCATTACTAGTCAGCTTAATTTGTATTGATAAAGTAAGGAGAGATTATGTCTTGGTCACTCCTGGGAGAGAAGGGGATAACTCTGTTCCTGCAGTAAGCTATAATTTGCTCAACAAACTCATTTATATTCCTTAGCATGAGAGAAAAAGGAACTCGTTTTGTCAAGTCCAGTGGTAGTGACATTAAAAAGCTGTTCTCAAATGCTGCTTGGGAAGTCAACAAAATTTTTTGTCAACACATGATAAAAAAATTAATGGAAGGCTTGTAGAATATATAAAGCCCCTTCTGGCTTGCTGACAAGTTGGCTGATAGTGTCCTTTGCTGAGAGATGGTCCTTGCCACTCCTCTTGGTCAAATATTCATTTATCTGACAATCTCTCAGCCATGGACATCACCAAGTGACATACCAGCCCCCAAAAGGATTTTATTTACTGATGGGAGGAGAGGATGATTCTCTGCCTTTGATTGCTGCCCACAGAACAATCAAGAAAACCAAATGCTGATAAACCATACTCAGAAGAGCTAGGTTACAATTATGGATTATCTTTCCAACTGCTTTGTTCCACTCTAGCCCCTCTTACTGAAGAAGCTAAAGTGAATACATATTAATCCTAATTGAAATGACAAAATAACACTCAACTTTAAACAGGAAACTCATAAATGTTGTAAATTAATTATGGTAATAGGACTGAGTGGAGTCCAATCCAGTCTGTAATTATAAGTGTGATTAACAAAATTAGACAACTGCAAAGTGGGAGTCCGATTTGTTAATAATGAGTGTGATTACAGAATGAATTGGATGACACAAAGTCCTGTTACCAATTAATCAAAACTATGACAAAATTTGAGAAAAAGTTAGACATTGGTTATACTTTTTCAAAAAAAAAAAAGTTAACTTGGTGAAATGTGAAACAACAGTGTATGCACATGATGCGTACTGCCCACTTAAACAGGCATTATAATTATGTCAACTGTTCTATACACAGTCCAATTACAAGCATATTGTGCACAATGTCCTCTTAGTGCTCAAATTGGGCCAGTGATAACCAATCACATTCAAGAATTTTGTTATAGTTTTGATTAATAATGGTAATAGGACCTAAAGTGGAGTCCAATTTGCTCTGTAATTATATGAGTAGTTAGCAAAATTGGACGACCATGAAGCAGGAGTCCAATTTATCAATCACAAGTATGATTACAGACACAAAACTGGATGACATAGAAGTCCTGTTACCAGTTAATCATAACCATCACAATTTCTGGAAACAACAAATACATTTAGGTCAAATATCTCCTGTAGAGACAATGTCTGTAGCAAAAAAATTCTCTGTTTTGGAAATTCCTCAATTTTTTTCTTAGGATAAGTGGTCATTGTTATGGTTATTGTGATTAATTCTGTGATAGGTGGATTTGGCTGAGAGGACTTAGTATGATTGGCCACTTCAATTGTCCAATAATTATTACTGGCGTCCGATCACAGCCAACTTTCTGATTACACTGAGCGGTTACAGCTCTACAGAATGATTAGTGAGAAACGAAGAAGCCAATACAACAATCACGTTTGAGGAAATTGTAATGGTTAAGATTAAGCATGAAATTCAATTGATTTTTACCCTTTAGAAGAGAAGTTTTCCGGATTCACTTTCATCTAAGAGATCAAGTGAACTCTGGAGGAGATTTATCATGTATCTAGGAGACTCCAAGCGATAATCCAACCGAGTTATCATACAAACATATGGTCTGCACTGAGGACATGACAGGAGATTTAAAGACTGGAAGTTCTAACAGTTCGGAAAACTGTTCCGCCTTTGACACACAAAGTAACCAAGGATTAGAACCCAATAAGGAGAATGTAGGAACAATAATAAAGAATATTCAACCAAAATATTCACCCCTTCCGCCGCTCAACCCCTGCTCCTTTCAACACTTACCTTTGTATGGCGTACAAATTGGTTTGGGGGACGGAACGTGACCGACGATAATTTCCAGCAAGACAACTCCAAACGAAAAGACGTCGATTTCTGTTTCATAATCAACCGTAGGGCGATCACTTCTGACCTGACGATTTCCGCGAGGGAATGTTTCCGGTGCCATGTACACTGTCGTGCCGGGGACAGGTGTCTTACACATATGCCGGGAAGTTCCCAGCGGAGACTCCTTTGCTTGGCCCAGATCAGCAATCTTCGCCTTTAGTTTCGTGTTGAGTAAAATGTTTTTAGATTTGATGTCTCGGTGAATGATGGGACACTCGTGTTCATGCAGAAATTTCAGTCCTTCGCCGACATCCAACATGATTCTAATGACTTCGTCCAGCGAAACTTTAGGTGTAGTTTTCGAGTTGATGTAGTGCGATTGTAGATCGCAAAGCATGAGCTCTGTGATAAGAACAGGCGATCTGTTTTCTGGAAAAAGAACTTCGTACATTTCAACGATATTGGGGTGTTTTAACACTCGAAGGAATTCACATTCTTTCTTAAAATCCTCAACTGCTCTAGGATAACACCAAAACATGTCATCTCTCAGGACTTTAACGGCTGCAAAGCGTCCATTCCATTTGGCTTTGTAAACTACGCCATAACTTCCCCCGCCAAGTTCTTCTTTGATATCAATTCCCTCGATTTTTAAAGAGTTTCCCATAGTTAACGGATTCTGAAACTCTGAAAAGCGAACACAAAGACCAGGCAGTGATTATTGATTATCATTCCCCCCCGATTCTGGGAAAGAATCATCGTGACGTATTGCGTGACAAGTCCTCTCACGCGGAGCTCCTCCTCTCCTCTAGATCTCACTAACACACACAACCCTTACGTACTGCTTGCTTCAAACCAAGCGCTCAGTTTATTCTCCAAAAAAGACTACAGGATACATTTCATGAATGAAAGTGATCCTCGCAGTGATGTGCACTACTTAGGCAGTAGTGAAAATAAGGCCTGAAAAAAAATTTCAGGCCTGTACGGGATTTGAACCCATGACCTCTGCGATACCGGTGCAGCGCTCTACCAACTGAGCTAACAAGCCAACTGGGAGCTGGTCATGATAGTGGTTCTAAATAAACCCGTGAAGTGATGAATATGCGGTTAAGAATATATGAAAGTCATATATTTGAACTGCGGATAAAGACATGAAAGACAGCTCAGTTGGCACCTGTACGGGCCTGAAATTTTGATGGCTTGTTGGCTCAGTTGGTAGAGCGCTGCACCGGTATCGCAGAGGTCATGGGTTCAAATCCAGTACAGGCCTGAAATTTTTTTCAGGCCTTATTTTCACTACTGCCTAAGTAGTGCACATCACTGCGAGGATCACTTTCATTCATGTCTTTATCCGCAGTTCAAATATATGACTTTCATATATTCTTAACCGCAGGATACATTACGTATCATAGAAAAATAAAATACAATCCATGAAACATCTAAATCACAAGCTAACTGACTTAGGGTCGTGGAACAACAGCTGAGTGAAAAACCTCCCCGTACGTCCTCCTGCACCAAGGAGGAAAATCCCAGGCCAGCTGTACCCCCATATACAACGGTCCCTCGGTCAAGACCAACTAAATAGATACTAGGATAAATTAAAAAGCGGTGCACGCGAGAAAACTAAATACCTTACACATACGATTTTATGATATGCACAAGCTCGGGAAAATTTGTCCACTAAAAAGGCATCGTAAATTTGGAACCGCTCGGCATTTCTAAAAAAACCCATCGAGCACATTCATTAGGTTTGTATTAGGTATTTTCAGAGAATTTGGAGAATATTTCTGACTACCGGCACGGTCTCAATAGACTAGGTCAGAATTGTTTTGTAAGTGTCGAAAAGCTTGCGAGTTTACATTATGCAGAAGCTTAGAAAATTCCTCCACTTAAAATCCAAATTAAGTTTTTAAATCGCTTGACATTTAAAATGAAACATCTAATACTCCTTAGATATTTGAAAGAACATTTCAGGAGTGTTTCTGTAGAAATTTCTGACTGCCGGACACGGAGTATTTTCAAAAACCTGTTCGGCTGCCGGACATGTAGACACAGAAACGTCTGCAAATCAACACTTCCGCCGTAGTATCTTCACCGTGAACTTCAAATGTTACGCTTTTGAAACAAGAATTAGGAAAAATCACTTACTTCTCAACAGAGGTTTCTTTCGCTGCCATGACCAACAAGCTGAATGAAATGATAAGATACATGCTTTTTGCCAACATTACTGGAAATCCTGAATCTCCAACCTTGTGTTTTTCCACAAAAAAGCAATTTTCCAGGTGGTATTAATTTCAACGTCAAGAAAAACCCATGCTTAAAAATGTGCGAAAATAACTCTTGAGAACATGGGGAATAATGAGGAAAAAACCGACATTTCATTGAAATAAATTCTTACCATGCTCAACCGTCTTCCCCACGACGAGAAACCCCGTGAAAACACACTGTCCCAGAGCTCTGACGGTGACATCTCAAAGGTGTGAAACGTTGCGTGACACTCATTTAACCGTCGTAGCCGACCGTCGTCGACAATCTTAAAGTCCCTATTAGCCCAGCGGTCATGACACTTAAAAAGCGATCCCTATACTGATCAGTTTTACTTTATTGAATAAATAGTTTTAACATGTCATTTCCGTTGTGAAATGTCATGTCACATCGGATCAAACAAGCTTAGAAAGCTCATATTTCTACACGACTCGTATTTCGCAAGATGATCTCACAGCTGAAGCTTGGACTGCCTGTGGTGCCACGGTCTTTTTTTTTTTTTCCTTCCCGCTTCATGGAGCGTAAAGGTAAAGGCCAGGCATCAATGAGCAGCAATGACAGATTGATTGACAGTTCCGCAATCATGACTTTATTTGAGCATTGAAATTTACATTTACAATCGTTAATTACTGCAACACTCTGCTTGCCAACTTTCACTGGAGAGTCAAAATGAAACTTTTTAACGTTTTGATGTTAATTTTTTCAAACCTTTCATCGACATATGGCCAAGGCTATTTTCCGAAATTAGAGGATCTTGCTGTGCTAAAACCGATCACTTCTTCTTCAACATGTGGAGCAACATCTAGTAAATATTGCCAGTCGTTGACTAAACAGACGTCTTTGACGAATTGCGTTGAAAAGAACTGTGAATTTGCTTGTTGTACAAATTGTAGTTCAGCCAAACCTGTTCCCACAGACTTAGCACAAACTTCGAATGAAGTTGGAGTCACTCAAGATGGCGATCCGAGAAATGGAACTATTGTCAGATCATTCCGATTTCAAGGGAATTCATCCCTACAACCTTTAAGGATTCCATTTATAGACTTTCAGAATCCTGGGTTCTCTATAAGCGTTTGGATTAAACAGAAGGCAGGAAACAAAGGGTAAGTTTTATGTTACCATGTTAAAGTTACTTTCCAGTTAAAGGGGAGAGGAGGTGAGAGGGGGTGACAGGGGGCACATGAATCGACCTTAAAATCAATTGTACTCCTTCGTAAATCGGTTTTTTTTTTAGCTCGATGCAACTCTTTCCGATTAATTTCAGTAATCAATCATAAAATTTTAAGCACGAAATTAATTAGCTCAATACGACTTTGAGCAAACTTTGGAAATCGTTACGGACTTCTTCATGATATTCTGGAGAAAATAAATCTAAAATCTTGAACGGGGCTACGCTACGTCCGATAAATAAGAGGCTGAACAGCAGCTGCAAATAGAGACACTAAAATCCTCTCCCACCTCACCCCTCCGTCCCCTACACCCCCAAGCATTTCATTCTAGGTGAAGAAAGCTCAGAGAAACTAAGGGTGTCTAAATTAATCGAAGAAACCTCCGAACTTGAATAAATTTCACAAAACTCAGCCCACAAAGCCACCTGATAAAGTTTGGCAACGTGATGGTCATTTAAGTGCGATAGTCTTTAACTTTCGAATCTTCGTCGGCCACTTCATTCCAAAGATTTGGCTGAAATCTGGCAGGAAGTCTTGCTCTAAGGTCGTAATCACGAAATGAATTTTAAAAAGTTTCAGGTATTTTTGCTTGGCCAAAAAGAGGGAAAGTGCACTTGGTCTGCCTATACTTGCCCGCCAATATGGCGAAGGTGATCTTTTGAATTCAACTCGAGTCCTATAGTAAAGATTTCTCAAAATCTTGTGTTATCCATGAAACGATCTTCCCTTCCTCTTAACATTTATTTTTGCCAAAATATGGCAAATATCTGGTTTTGACAACATGTGATCCCAACGTTCTAAGGTCGCTTTAGGCCGCCTTGAACAGTGAAAAATTTACCCCAACAGTAAATTTAGTAACATAATATCTCAGTGTTACCTCGATCCAGGAGATACCACCTATTATGAAGAACGTTTGTTCCTAGATGAACAAGTTTCGTAAATAAAAAATGGGGGAAGTGAAATGGTCAAGGAAAAAAAAATTATCAACCTGTAAGGACCTGGCTATGTTTGGGACCTAGTCCTAAAAGCTCTAAGATCAATTCACCGATGAGAAGTAAACAGTTAAAGTACATTTATCATCCAGAAAGTTTTCTAATACCATGGAAATATCTTTTGATTTGACATAAACGTAATGATATTCCGCCCCCGGGGTGGTAATTTGTTCAAATGCCCTACCAAAGTTCACTTTTTTGAAAAAAAGGAAAACTCAGCGACCATAACTTTCTACTCGTTTACCTAGCTTTAAAACTCTAGACCTCGTAGACCTTTACTTCTGGGACATTCGCACGCGAAAATGAAGTATTTACTCCTCCACATTTTGCGATAAAGCACGTATAATCCGCTGGAAAGACTTAACATTTCCGGTACAAATTTCCCACCCCAGCCAGGGAAGGTTCAGATTTACCATCCATCATCGATGCGTCATTTCTTAGTTTCGCTTTCGTTCCTTAACATGTACTCCCTTCTTTGAAAACTTCTGTGTCAGGGGTAGGTATTTGGTTCTAAAATGGGATGCGAAACACGACACCTAGTAAGACTTGAACTCATAAAGGCACAAACCTATTTAAGACTGAGAACAGTGCGAACTTGTAAGCTGTCTCAATCTAAAAAAAAAAGCCACATGTGTCGTGCCCACGTCATCGAAAAATAAATTAATTATGGTTTCGTGGCTCTTAGCTTTCGGGGGTCTTAGTTTTCGCAACAACCGACAGTTCAGTGATGAACGACGATTTAATTCGAATTAATTGTTTTGTTTTTCATACAGTTAAGGTTTAAAGCTAGTTTAGACCCACTGAAAGAAGTTTTAAAAAATATCCTTCACGAACAGTCTCTCAAAGCAAAATAGATCTTAGAGTAAACTCAATTAACGATTGCGTGCGCGTTCCCGCGAGGTGATGTTTGTTTCAAACAACTCTCAATTCATGTCAATGCTCTTAGTGAGAGCGCCTCATGTAGGCATCTTGCGCTCACCGTTGTGAAAAAAAGAGAAAAAAAATTTGCAAGGAGACATACTGAAAGGTTGGGTTTTCTTTATACTGTTATACGAAATACGAAACTGAGAACCACTCAAAAACATGATGTAATTTACGTAATATCTAAACCTTTGGCGTGACGAGTAGGATTAACTGTAAGTGTAGCTTATAGGCATCAGATTTGAGTAAGTCACCAATCACCACCAAATGAAGAGGTTGGAATTCAGAAGAATCTTTTCTTTTTTTCAAAAATTTTCGCTCTCCCTTCCAAGCGTTATTGCCGGATCGATTCTTTAAATTCATTTGGTAACCAAATATTTATCCCGTTCCTGCAATGTCGCTCAGAGATATTTGCTTTTGGTCAAAATAAACAGATACTTCCATAATATCAAGAAAACTTCTGGAATTTGCCTTTATTCTGGACGAAATAAGACTTATACCCTATTCACACCAACGAAACATGTTTTGTTAAACTGGTTTTGACTGAATGAAAATCATAAATAGAGAGCTGAAAAAGTTAATTTTCTATAGGATTCAAGTATTTGCTCACTTGCATTTCCAATGTGCTAAATTTAAGTCAAAAAAGTATTAGGTTAAGTAGTTTCTACGAAGAAAAAAAATTAAACCGTAATTAACAAAACAACTTTAAGCTTTGAATGTGGTATTAGACTTTATTCCTGACCTAAGGATAAGGATTTTAGGAAATCTTTACGACAGGACTCGAGTTGAAGTCATAGGAACACTTTCGATACGCCATGTTGGCGAGCAAGTATGAGCAGACTACGCCGGCTTTACTGTTTTTTTGCCGAGCAAAAACAACTGGAACTTTGAAATACCAATTTCGTGGTTAGGACCCTAAAATCAGCCTTCATGCTAAATTTCAGCCAATCGGTGAGGTTAAGTGGCCGCGATTCTTTGAAAAAGTTCGAAAGTTACAGACTGTTGCTCTTAAGTCTTACGTAAGGGGGTGTTTGATTCTTTCATTATACTCTGGGAAAAACAGCTGGACTTAGTTCTTTTGAGTACATTTCGCATATATGTATCATTTCCCTTTCTTACTCATTCCTATTTACTCATCCCTTATAACAGTTTTCGTTTTCTTGGCTCGTATAAACAAGTCAATTCTACATATACTCCTTTCAAGCTGGTTTTATTTTCGATAATCCAAAATTATTCGGAAAGATTCTAGCTTCCATATACATACATACATAAATACATACATTCTACTATTAATACTTGTTATCAACTTTTTTTTTAATAGGACGATCATGTCTAAAGATGAGACTACTCCTCCAAATTTTGCCAATGTCTTTCAACTTGTTATCAAGGACTATAACTTGATGTTTTACTATCGACCTGCCACTGGGAATGCATCAGTTGCTACATACAACCTTCTGCAAAGCCAAAGTGAAAAGCTTCAACAGGATGAGTGGCATTTAATAACTGTAGCAGTTATTGATAAAGCACTGTCATATTACATTGATGGTGAACTCATGAATGCAAATTTTGTGACTCTGAGTGATTACATCAATAACTCTTCTGGTGGTATTCGAATTGGACAAAAATATGGGGGTCAGTGACTATTATTTAGTTAAGGGCTTAGAGCCTCTTGAGGATTATCAAAGTCATTAGCTCTGTCCATGTAGTTAGCTTTGTAGTGCAAACGTCAACGTTTCCCGCTTGTCATCATGACGTCATTAGGAAGATAATTAACAATTATTAATCGAAGTGAGGGTCGCTAGTGGTAGGTATTCAATGAGCAGCGAAGCAGCGCAGTAAATATCCACCGCCAACCACTGACACTGAACTAAATAATTGTTTACTACTAAAACAGTGAGATCATATAGAACACACAAAAAATTATTTTAGCTCATTTATTCCTGCAACGATAACAATGTTTTAGGCCGCAAATCCCGCGTGCTTTGCTCGGAGGTAAATAGTTAACAATCACTCCATGAATGCGTGTTGGATATGAGATAATAAATCTACTGTTTTAGTATGTACTAGCAAGAACACCTGATAACGTGGAATAAATGAACATAGGGTATTGGCGATGTCGAAAAAATAAGAAAGAACGGTTAATTTTCAACTCAAAATTCGCCATTTTTCTAATACCAACAACGCATGTGGCGCTTTCGATATCGTTGGTCCCAGCAGTACGCAGCTAGGATGCGTGTCACACATGAAATCAGTTATGGCCCAACCAATCGTAAGGTCTCTCTGGCTCAATGATAGCGCATCAGAGCACCAAGAATTTCTTTACCGTACACCCACGACAGCACAAAAAAGAAAGTTTTATACCAGGGTTAAAACATAATCATCATCAGACATACTATGATGTTTTCCTCTATCACAAAAATTAATCTAAAGAAATTCCTCCAGGTGATGCAGAGTGGCAGTATGAAGGCCTGATGCAGGATATCTTCATGTATGACAGAGCTTTGACCAACAGGTAGGTACACCAGCTGAGAAGTAAGATTGTTCATAACACCTGGTTCTGAGTAAGTATCTTCCTTGCGACGCAAAATAAATGAGAATTATTATAACGGCTGTGCACATGCATTATACTTTTATATTATACTTTTTTTCCCAAGCCTTCCTATGTCAAAAAGACGAAGTTAATCAATACGTTATCGGTTTTTGTAATTAATAAAAATTAAGTATATAAAAAACATCCGCTGACCTTGTCTATTTCAGGTGACGCAGAACTCTTCTTATCCACCACAGAAAAACGCAGACTCAACAAGCTAAGAAATATATTGGTTAATCACATCAAGTATTTCAGTTCAGTTTAAAATAATAAGATGCACCCGTCTCAAAATCATTTTGCCTGGTTAAACGTATCATGCACCAACTTTGTTGTGATAGTTTTCATGACACATATGAAAGGAGAGTATCTTGTTTAACATGTGTTGGATATTATTTCTTCTCGCTGAAATGATTACTGTTTTCTTTCTAGGGAAGCGATAGAGGCATTCACAGGTGTCCTTCCAACAGTTTATGTTGCTAGCAATTGTCGATGCCCACCCACTCATCCAAAAATAAATGTTGCTGAACCAGCTAAGTGTCTGAAAAACTTAGATGGAGACACTGACACAGTATCCAGGCTAAACGACACAGCTCACCCACCTGAGTTTGCCACTGATGGTGACTCACTCAGTTACTGGCTGTCAGAGATCACAGAAAATGCAACCATTCACATAAATTTGGCATATGCTGGATTGCAGGTGGGATTTTCAATTCTTAGTGTTATTTATGACCAAGAAAAACGATTCAAGAAGAAAGCGTCCATCAATATTGCTGATTTCTTCAATGTTAGCCTTGATTAATTATGTTGCATCAAATTAATTTCATAGGGCAGTTTGTTGGTCATGACCCAGCCCTTAAACCAAATTAAATGTAAATAAGGGACTAGTATATATATTTTTAATACTATGCTAGGTGTTCTACGTCGTCTTGACTTTCTATGGACCTGTACCTGGCGCAATAAAGATTGAGCGATCAGTGGACAGCGGACATACCTACGAGTCCTGGCAGTATTTTGCTGAGGATTGTGTGACCTCATTTGATTTACAAAACAATGGTCCATTGACACAACCTGACTCTGCGAACTGCGTCCAATACATAAAGTAAGTTGTCGTTTCTCATTAACAATAGCATTATTGATTCAGGAAAAAATGAAGCAAGTTTCTGGCCTTTATTGATAGATTGCAGTTAAACTGGACTTGGAACTTGTTTGAAGAATTGTGGGAAAATGTTTGGTTTAAATTGTTTCCTTGTAGTAATGATTGTTTTATTTCAGACCTTTGCAGTCCAGTCGAAAAGTGTTGACCTTTCAGACAGAATATCCACCGCCTCCAGGCTCCAACATTCCAGTGCGACCGTTTGGTTCCGGATGCGGTAATCTTTACTGCTCAGACAGACTGTTGCAGTACTTAAAAGCTACTCATATCAAGTTTAACTTTTACAATCATACTTTGGTACAGAATCCTCTGCACCGGTACTATGGCCTGGAAAGAATTCTTGTCACTGGAAGGTTAGCAAATTCACGTGTATTCAATGCTGAAAAATCTCTTTATTACGCCAGAGTACGCTGCAACACAGTTCAATTAAGTCTCTATGAACCTGAGAACGTCCTCTCTCAGTAAAGGCACTTTATGTAACTGTAATTGACTGCAGTTGACTAAATTAAGCAAGGTCAATAGCCACTGGTCAGTTAATTTACGTATATGCACATACTGTTACATTCTGATATTGTATTTTGTAGGTGTGAATGTTTCGGTCATGCATCATCCTTCAGCTATATTGAAGGGAACTCCACGCACATTGGACAATGTATTTGTGACTGTCATCCATCAACCAATACGGAGGGAGAAACTGTAAGAACATTTTGATGAGCAAAGATGTATTTGTTTTCTAATGTAATGTCTCTGGATAAAATGGTTTGCTTCATTTGCGCAATTTACATTCAGTTTTTTCTGAAAAAAAAAACTGTCTTATGGGCGAACAAGTACGGTTATTGTCTGAAACGAAGTTCTGTTTTTATTTAACACGACCTGGCACGAAATACTATTCTCTATGGTTTCAGACCACTGTAAACAATATGCCAAATTTGTTGGCAAATTGTTTCAGAATTGTTTCAGAATTGTTTCAGATGTAATTTTTCTGTAACATATGCTGCCATATTTTTCCATGTCAGTGCAATCGTTGCAAGCCCCTATACAATGACAAACCATTTAGAAGAGGTGATAGTGATGACTCGTACCCCTGTGTCAAGTGCGAGTGTAATAATCATGCCAACAGTTGTGTTTATAATCAAACTCTGGACACCAGCCCTGACTCACGTACCCAGGGGGGAGGAGGTGTGTGTATAAACTGTCAACACAACACTACTGGTCGTTTTTGTAATCTGTGCAAGGAGAGATTCTATAGGGAGTCTGGGAAGAGTCTAAAGTCACCGGATGTGTGTTCGCCTTGTGGATGTGAGGGGCTTGGGGTACAGCCTGGAGAGTTGGATTGTGTCAAGGTTTGTAATGATTACTTTGTGTGTTGCTCATCGGAGAGAGTGCTGTGCTTCATAAGCAGGAGTCACTGAAACAAGCTTTCAGCAGAAATTATAGTTTGCAACTATTCACCGAATTGGAGGTGAATAGTTGTTTTACTATGTACTAAAACAGTGACATGATAAAGCACTCATTTATTCCTACAGTTGTTACAATGGTTTCGGACCCAAATTCCGCGCACGTCGCTCGGAAGTGAATAACAAGGGATATTCGGAGTTTTAGTAGCCAATCAGAGGTCTGAGGTTCGATTCCTCATGGGGACTCAGAACTTTTTTATTTGTCTCACGCTCGTGACAAGACGAAAAACATCTTTCTTAAATTCCACATATATCTATACTCCACTATACGCGTACTTTAATTGAAAACATAGGAAAAATTCTCGTATAAGAGCCGTGCGCGAAGGCGCTAGCAGAGCCAAAAGAAGAAAATACTACAGTCATATAATTGACTGAATCAACTCTGATCGAAAGGGAAAATAGTCGGCTCTCGTCATGACCCATCACCTCTTCGCTGCAATCGTTCCGTGCGTTAAGACCTCGAGCAAAATATTTTCAAATAATTTCCCGTCCGGCCCTTCCACTCAATCAAAGGGTACATAGAGTTTGGGGAGTTAATTCATAAAAGCCCTGTTGAAATGTCTATTGGCACTTTGCAGTCAGCCATCACATGATACAAGAAACACCTAACTTACTGGTGAGCAAATTTCACACTGTGTGTAGCTGATACGTCCAAAGCAAATTATTTTTTTCTGAAGATGCTTAAGTTATGATGTCCAGGTTTGCCAATTTTGCTCATCATTGGATGTTTCTTGTCTTCATGTGATTGCTGAATGCAAGGGTCTTTTAATTTCTTTGACAGTATTGAAGATATATTTCCCTAAACCATTTTTTCAATGGATAGGAAGCTTCCAACTCAAGTGTAGTTGCTGGACAGTGCGTTTGCAAAGACAACACTAAAGGCCGTCAATGTGATGAGTGTAAAGATGGATTTTATGATCTCAAAGCTAGCCATGCAACTGGTTGCATTTCATGTGGCTGTCTTCTTAATGGCACCATAAATCGAAATATTTCATGTCACCCAGAATCCGGACAGTGTTACTGCAAAGACCGAGTGACAGGAAGAAATTGCGACACCTGTAAGACAGGGTACTGGGGTCTGTCAGAGAGCAATCCACAGGGATGTACACAGTGTGTATGTAACACTAATGGAACTGTGGGAGGGTCGGGTGAATGTGAACAGCAATCTGGAAACTGTACTTGTAAGCCGTTGGTGATTGGTCAGACTTGCAACCAATGTAAGCCGGGCACATTTGGCTTGAACCAATCAGATACTAACGGATGTCAACCGTGTAACTGTTTTCCCAACGGAACAATAGATGGAGACAGAAAGAGACCAGGTAGCCTCAGTGTACTTTTTAGATGTTTTTATTTTTATCACAAGTCAGAGCAATACATGCTTATCTCTTTGTTGGTGAAGTGGGAGCAAAGTGAATGAAGGAAATTTTGTTATGAAGCAAAAAATCAGGCTGTTGAGTGATCCAATGTACAAATGTTGATGGCGGAAATTTGTTAGATTTTCATTCTATTCAGAACCAATTAAAACATAATGGAAAGACGATTACCTCTTGCAGTGGCTCTCCCCACGTAGGAGAATAAACGAATATTGACGGAAAGTCAGACAAACCTGACCTAACTTAAACCCCTTTTAAGACGAATCTTTGTTAGCCATTTATCAGAATGTGTATTTTTAAAAACATTTTTTAACACATTCTTGGTTCGTTTATCACGTGTCTTCGAAGCTTCTTGACATTTACTTTTCAGTCCTTATGTATTTAAGTATTTAAGACTACCTCTATTGGAAATACATTATATGATCTTTACCTGTCATTCAATCGCAACACAACTGATTCAGTAAGTTCTAAAGAAACATTACGCAATGCATCAGATGGTGCGTAATGTTGCTTTTAGTCTTGCTATTTCTGAAAACCGGAGGTTTTTAGCTGATGTGGTCTAGGAAAATGTTGCAGTGGATGACCCTTTTTTTAAGAAATAGATTGCTATTTATTCCAATCAGTGGTACGTGTTGTTGACAAACTCTTGACCAATCAGTGACAACTCTCTCTTCAACAAAGAAGTGTTACACTAGATATTTATCAATATTTATCGATAAATTCCTGTCGGACTAAAATGGCATTTCGTGGCAGACGCGTATGTAGTGTACAACTCTGACTTACACTTGTTCATTTACGTTTGCTCTTC